GATCACCCAACAAGTCATTTTGTGCTTTTAAAATACCTTCCTCACAGAGCCAGAACATGAAACCTCCTCCATTTTGGAACTGCAGCAGCCCTTGCAAATTAGTATGTCATTTCACTTGGCGCGTCAGCTTTGATTTTGAAAAGGAGGCAAAAAAAAAATGAAAGAAAGAAAGGGGAAAGTGTGTCCACCCTCGGAGCAAGTATAGGCCCCGAGCTGCCACAAATGCGGCGGGCATTCCGGCGGAATTAGTGTGTGCATGTGCGCATTCTTTGCGTTCATTCTGGGTGAGGAGTTCAGAGGTAAAAGGCCAGAGAGTGATATCATTGTGTGACCATTCACCTCTTTCTCTTTAGGTGAAATTCCCCCCTTTTGTGAGTCGCCTCTTTTATGGAGCTGAGGCAGAAGAATGATTTCATTTTGTAGTTCAAGTTCTGTGGCGGAAACAAACTTTTTTTTTCACACAAACTGAAAATATTTTGGACATTTGGACATTTGGCTAACATCTTTCTTTTTTTGAAATCCATCTTCTTTATTAGTCTTTAGGGGATGCTGATAAGGACACAAGTTTGTCGAATTTCTAAACTTTTTTTCCTAATTTCTCACACATTCTCCTGTCCGATAAATAACTTTCCTGTGAGTCTCGGCCAAATAAACGACACCCAGACTTTTTATCGTCCCCTTTCACAGCTTCCTCAAAGTCCTCATGCCTGTGTGTCAGTTATTCCTCCTCGGTAACAGAGAACCCCAAAGCGTGAATATCTTTATTCAGCAGGTCAGCAATATGCTCGACAGCTCAAGTTGTCCCTGCCTCCGCGTCTCTCTTTTAGTCGGTGTTAGTCCTCCTCTTTGACTATTCAGGGAAGGATGAATGTTAGAAATGTGAAGGCTGTGGGCCAGTCTAATGCCTTTGTGTGTGTAGGCCAGGGGAGAGTATAAAGAAACAGCTAGGCTCTCTCTCTCTCTCTCTCTCTCTCCGTGTGTGTGTATTAAGTGTGTGTGCACCCATCAAAAACAAAAAAAAATCCCTCCACAGGGCCCACGGCTGTGTCGATTAAACCTCATTGTTGTTTGCGCTTTACTACTTTACTGCCCTTATGCACGAACCTCCCAAGAAAAAAAAACAAGAGAATGGCCCCCACCACCTCCTCCCCCCATCTCCCCAACACACACACATCGCATCACACCACACACACCTCCTTCTCCTGGTAATCCATTTTGTAGTTGGGAGGGAGAAACAAAAGAGAGGCCTGCTTTACATGGTTTATGTAAAAGGAGCGCTCCCTCTCTTCCAATGCAGTTCATTAAGAGATTACATAGAAGCCCAAAGACCCTTTGTGACCGGGCAGTGACGGGGGCACCTCTGTGGGTCCTTTTGTGAATGTGGGGGGGTGAGAGAGAGGGAGAGATGAGGGGAGGGGGGCAGAGGAAGGAGGAGGGTGCATCAGATCCAGACGGTATAAGGTGCAGTGCAGTGTGGGTGTTTTACAGTATTAACCCAGCCTCCGTGCTGTTGAGCTTTTCTGATTCACAGTGTTCACTCTTGGCCTTTTGTTCCTCTGCTGTGCACCCAGGAGCTGAAACACACACTCACACTGAAGCGCCTACGGTAGCCGCTAACTGGACGGACTCTCTGGCAATTGACCTTTTGCAGGTAAGCCTAGGCTCGCTTTGTGCAATACAGTCAGACTAAGCTACGTCGGCTTGATGGGATCCTCCGCAGCTTTGACTTAGCGTTACTGTATCCTTCAGTGTTTCCCACAGGATTTGCTTCTTACTCCTTGAGATACATTGTGTTGGCTCTTGCAGGGTCTTTACACGCAGGAGCTTGTTTCACGCGGCAGCTCTGATCTGAGCACACGCTGCGAGCGCATGGTAACATTTCAGGAGAAACAGTTTTACTGGATCATCTTCGGTAATAACACAAAGTCACTGTTGTGCTCAGCCGGGAGCATCACACGGCAAAGGGATGGATTTGCATTCCTGTTTGTGAGTGGAAAAAAAAACAAACATCAAAGATATTCTGAGTGTGTGGGACTGAATCTGAGTGAACTCGGAGGGATACGCAGAAAGACACATTTCAAGTGTACACTGACGATAAAGGGAACTTCTAAAGCAGAACGATTGCGACTAGCTGTTATTTCAGACTGTGTAAGATGTAAGAAACTTGATTTCATCCATCAACTGCTAATCAGAGAACAGTTTTATGTTGCTCTCATAAATGTCTGCTTTTTAGTATTCTAATGAGTTTTGTTTTATTGCTGTACCAGCGGTTAGTCTCTGTGTTCACAAAACATGCACAGTCAGCTGAGCAGTTCGAGGATTTGAACATTTTATTGTCTTTGGATTTTTCGATTTTTATGAAAAATGCTTAAGGAAGAGCCGCTGTTGACACGATCCTGTGATTCTGTATCACAAGGAATGTCAGCAGCAGTTGTTTTTTAGTCCAGGACTTAGTGTGTGACTTGTGATAACCCTGTCCCTGAGGCTTGGTGGAACCGTGTGTTTGTCTCAGGCTTGTAAAGTGTTAATTGGAGCATCTCAGGTGTAACTTGCAGCATTGGTGCAGTGTAGCAATGCCACAGAGGCAACCTCAATCATCTGGGGTTTGTGGTAAGCGACGCTCGAGCAGAGATACACCAGTGCAGTCGAGGGAGAGAGGAAGAGAAAATATAAGAGACGCTGTATTTCTGATGGGGTTTTTGCTGTTTGATCATCCAGTTTCTGAATATGAAATTGCTGATACAGCCACTAAATTCCTCCTTCTTCTTTCTTTCCTCACCTCTCTGTCTTAGTGGAATAGCGGAATAAGTCTTGAACAATGAGCTCAGTGGCAGTGTTGACCCCGGAGAGCTTTGCAGAGCATCGGAGTGGCCTGAAGGACCAGGAGATTACAGGTAACGTCCCCCTGTCATCTGCTTACCTGTTTCCCCTCTGTAGCCCGAGCTAGTTAGCCACTTATTAGCCCAAGAGATCAGGTTAACGTATTTAGATTTTTCTGACGCTGGTATGATTTCTTTAGTATTCCTCCTCTCAGTATATTTATTATCTCTCCTCCTTAATTATGCTAATCCTCCCCTATCCATCCATACATGCACACTGTTTTTACCTTCATCCTCGCCTTATTTATCTTTGTCTCTCCGGGCCAGGCTGTGTCCCGGAGGATGAGGCCTACATCCCCACCTACCTGGAGGCCTTCCCTCCACTGCCGGAGAAGGGGGCACCAGGGGAAAAGGCCGGGGAGCCGGCTTCAGCGTGGGGGAGTAAGATCAGGCCCATCAAAGCCTCTGTCATCACCCAGGTCAGGAATCCACCAACTGCATACATACACAAGCTCTCCCGATTATATGGAAGAAAACGTTGTCAGTTTCTAATTTGCAAACTCTTTTGACTTCAACAACTGTCACTCATGCAAAAAAAAATCATCATCAGTACTATAAAGAAACATGAAAGTAAACCAGTTGATGTTTGTCATTCATTCTTCAGCTCTCTGGATATTTATTCTGACTGTAACTACATTTTGCAGCGAGCCACATTAGCGTCAGTAGAGCTGGTCAATAAGACTCACCTGTTATGGGAAAGTAAGCGAATGAGACGTTGCCTTAAAATCTGAGCCTCCTCCCCTCTTACTCGCTGTGTGTTTAGGTGTTCCACGTGCCCCTGGAGGAACGTCGCTACAAGGACAACAGCCAGTTCGGGGAGGGCGAGGAGGCCAAAGTGTGCTTGGACATCATGCAGCGGACGGGAGCCCACATCGAGCTGTCCCTGGCCAAAGACCAGGGCCTGTCCATCATGGTCACCGGCAAACTGGACTCTGTGATGAAGGCTCGAAAGGAAATTGTAGCTCGTCTGCAGACGCAGGTAAAGTCACTGTAGGTGTTTGTGCTTATAGCTTGTTAACAGGTTGAAATTTTGTTTGGCAGGGGGGTTCTTGTTTTTTTATTTATTTATTTTTTGGTCTAAATAAAAGAAAAACATAAATGATGATATCGTAAAGAAAATGTAGAATTTTTGAATATAACTTTTATTTACGCTCAGAAACTGCAATTATATGTAAAACATGAAAAACATTGATGTGTTTAGTTAAGGCCATGGTGTTGTATTGAATAATATTTATTTTTTAAATGTTAAATATTAAATGTTCTGTAGTTTAACAAGTGGGTTTATGTGTTGATAGTGAAGACCATTGAAACAGACCGGTGGTTAACAGATGTTTCTTTGAGGAGGAACAAAGACTCACGTCACTATTTAAACTAATGAACGGTACCAGATACATTTTAATGTGTCTGTTACTTTTATTGGTATTTTCGATCCTCTCAGATTTATATCACAGTGGTTTATTTAGCTTATTTTAACTCAGTCCAAAGTTACACAGGAACAGTTAGTTCCAGCTGCAGCTTGTGCAGGCAGGTCAGTTTAGGACACAAAGTTGAGCTGAAAAATGACCGTCAGCTCCCCAAGGGCGGCCTCTCTGAGCTTCAGCAACAAACATGCTGATTTCCACTTCAGTTGGTGCACTGAGGTCCACCTGTTTAGCTGAGCTGCAGTTATTGATACAATAGTGCAGAAAATACTTCTCTCCTCTTCGCAAGGTTGAATGCTTTTGTTGTTGTTTACCTACTGAAAACCCACATATTTCATCAAGTTTCATCCAGTTACTGTCCTTGGTAAATTCTATATCCTATAAATATGGAAACTGAAGTTTCACCATCAACAATTGGGTATTTGTTTTGAATACGTCTGAACCGTAACTCCCCAAGAGAGATTCCTATAATGCTAATGAAATCAGTTCAGGGAAGATAATGCGCCTTGCTCCAGCGATTTACTGCCCTTTGTGTAACAATGACAATCTAACTCAGTTTCTCCCTGAATCGTCCACCAGGCCTCAGCCACAGTCGCCATCCCCAAGGAGCACCATCGCTTTGTCATCGGTAAGAACGGTGAGAAATTGCAGGAGCTGGAGCTGAAGACCGCCACCAAGATCGCTATTCCACGTCCCGACGACCCCAGCGCTAACATCCGCATCACTGGCACCAAGGAGGGCATCGAGAAGGCTCGTCACGAAATACTTCTGATCTCTGCTGAACAGGTCAGCCGTGGGGATCAACTTTAAACATTTAACTGACTAGTAAATAAATGGTAATTATACATCCATCAAGTATTTAAATTAGCTGTTTTAAGAGCTGAAGACTAAAGATTTCTTTTTGATCCTGTACTTTATTGCCTCTCTAAACAACTTCTCAGCAAACCCCTATTTACATATATTATAGTTTGAACGACTCTTCTGTTTACCGACTCCCCCTCCCCCTCCTCCTCCTCCTCCTCACGCTCACCCACTCACCAGGACAAGCGTGCAGTGGAGCGTCTGTCCCTGGAGAAGGCCTTCCACCCCTTCATCGCCGGCGCCCACAACCGGCTGGTGCAGGAGCTGAGCCAGGAGACGGGCGCTCGCATCAGCATCCCCCCGCCCAGCCTGCCCAAGGACGAGATTGTCATCACCGGGGAGAAAGAGGCCGTCGCGCTGGCGCTCAGCCGCATCCGAGCAATCTACGACGACAAGGTGCGTTGGTTGCCAGCGGTCGTAGAGCTCACATAACCCCATTCTAACTAACTTACTCCTGATTGAGTTTAGAATTGATCCGTAATGTTTAATTGATTCATTTTTAAAGCAATTAGTGGCTTAGCAACAGCTTGAATAGCAGAGCTTTTATTTCCATAAATGTTTTCTAACTGCAATCTGCTTGAGTGGACTAATGTTAAAGACACATATCCGATAACTTCAACATTCACAGTTTGATTCCAGCCGGGTACTTTTGTTTCTTGGCATACACTTCATACAATAACTCGTTTGCGTCTCTAATCTCAACTGTCAAGCGTCTATAAATGCCAAAACCCCACTGTTTGTTTTGTGTCATTTGAATTAAAAAAAATTAAGTTAATAGTTGATTAATGATTTGCAGGCAGGGCCCTTAAACTTTGATAAAGCGTTGTTTGCATTGCTGTTTCCTTCTATGTTTTTGTCTACCTCTTTGCTGTGTTAAACTCACCACTGATGATTGATGATCAGTTTATTTTCTCAACGTGAGCCTAGCAAAAAACACTAAGTACAAAATCACAACTGGATCACAGACGGATAATGAAAGTGAGTCAAACACATGAGACCTACTTCTTTGTTTATATTTCTACCTGCTCGTGTTCTTGGTTTATTTTATGCCAGCGTTTAGTCTTTGTTACCCAGAATGACTTGTTGTGAGCAGATTGGGGTTTATTTTAGGGCTTTATGGCAGGACACACGTGACGCAGATATAATCTTTGTGGTTCTCTATTTTCACCGCTTTAACCACTTGTTTACTCTCCTGCCTGGATCTTAAACTTTGTAATAAAAATCTTTGGCACAGTTACACAAACTGTGTGTTTTTAGAAATGAAGAGGTTTTCACCATTGTTTTCAACAGTGGTGTCTTTTATTTTACACCACACAAATATCTGCATTATCTATAGAAGTTTACAAGAGAATGTTTAAAAGATGGATGACGTGTGGAGAGGAAGTGTGTGTTTGTGAGTGTGTACCAAATGAGCGCTGGTGACAGACAAGCCGGACATAATGTGGAGAGAAAATTAGATTTCACTAGAGAACAACAGGATGAGAATGCTAATGTCATTTAGTGCATATGTATGAGAGGCAAAAACAAATTTTCTCTGTTGCCGTCTCGCGTTCAATCATCTTCCTCTCCTTCACCTGTCGCCTGCTTATTTCCTCGTCCTACTGTCTCTCAGTCCTCCTTTTCCCTTTACTCATGTCAACTTTTATCCTTTCTGTTTCCTTTTTCTCATTCCTCTTTCTGTCACCTCTTGTGTTCTCATCCATCCTTCACTGTGCTCCTCAATTTCCTGTCTTTCCCATGTGGCTCTTGCTTGTCGAGGACGAGGCAGCTTCACTTCAAACAGTGGGGCAATTTAAAGTTCCTTAAGGAGTTATAAAATACAGTAAAGGTAAAATATCCACAATTGAAAAGTGCAAAAGTACAGGCAGTAGATACAAAAGACTTAAAAAGTAAACTAGTGCATTTAAAGTGAAACAGAAAGAGAAAAGAACACATTAAATACTTTTAAATTAACCATGTGTATTTTTACAGATCTCGCTGCATAAAGTAGATGAGAATTTATAGATTCTATTCTCGGTCAAAAACCTCTCCATCCACAGATGGATGAGAATCATACAGGGTAAAGCTCTGCCCCCATGTCCGAGATGTATGTGATAAGATAAAGTTTTCCTTAATTGATTCCCCCATAAGAGAAATAAAAAATAAAAAAAAACCTCTGGCTGTCGGAAGTGGGATTCGAACCAATTCCTCCAGGGGAGACTGCGACCTTAATATAGCACCTTAGACCGCTCGGCCATCCTGACTCCTTGGGCATAGAGCCACAGAGTTATTCATAGACAAGCTGCACTATTTTGAGCTCAATTCTGTGGGTGAAATGGTGTAATGTGGTCATATTTCCTAGTTTTTGTCAGGACCCTGGCAGCAGCTTTCTAGAGTTTCTGGAGTTTTTTTTAATAAGTCTTGTGAACAAACCATTGCAGTAATCGGATCTACTGGAAATTAAGTCATGGGAAAGCCTTACTAGATCTTGTTTGGACATTGTTCATCTGAATCCTAGAATATTTTCAAGATAGTAGTAAGCTGACAAAGTTAGTTAGTCTGTAGCATTGAGACTGTTCTTCTTTAGGAGAGACTTAATGACTGCAGTTGTCATGGGAACTTGCCACATTGGAGAGAATTGTTAACTACTAGAGAGTATTGTTTCTTTCACAAAGGTGCTTAAAAAATGTTTTAAGGAAGCTAGTTGGTAAAGCGTCAAGGCAACAGGAGGTTTCTTTGATTGTGTCAAACCTACCAGGAAGACTGCAGTGATGAAGTTAATAGCAGTTAAAAGCATGTCTATCTGATGACTTGTATCCTAAAAATCATCATTAAAAAGATAGAGACTGGTAGAAACTAGTTCTGTGGATATTGGAATCAAAGGGTTTGTTCCATCAGTGTTAGCAAAGAAGAGATGTTACTTTTCCTTTTGATGATCTCAGAGAAAATTGATT